TTTAATACAGGGAAGATTATACTTACTTATGACACTGAAAAATATCCAACCATTTACGAATGATAAGGCTGCCATAGCGTTAGGAAAAAAATTGGTTTGATTAGAATTCGAATGTAAATAAACACGCAATTTTGGAAATAAACTTCCGGGTAAGGAAAATTCAGACTACGTATAGAATAACCTAGTTTAAATAATCCAAAAGTACGGCAATGATACGCCTTAAAAAATTGCCATTCCGTACGGTTCACAAATCTGACAGCGTAATTGAAATCGTTACGGATAAATGATTTTGCTTTAAATCGTCTGGACTAATTGGTTATGCTACAAAGAATTCATTCCTTCGAAGGCTACCGCCGTCATATGACCTACAATTAATAATTAAACTATGTATACGAACCATTTATACAAATACTGATTTTTTTCAACAGTGTGTGCCAGCATATTCAATATCGTCCGTTAGTGCCTTAAAATTGTTTACACACTCTTGGTGTGGTAAAAAGACCACATCTCTTAAAAATTAATACTAGTAATTCAACTCTTATATCAACATTTTTAAAACTCCCTGTGTGGTTTGCATTTTTCTTTTTGTATTTTAACACCGTGTGATGTTTCTTTGAACTTTGATTTTTTATTTAATTTATCTTATTGTAGGTTATCTCGTCCAGTCATATTTTTTAAAATTGATTTGTATAACTTTCTCAAACTTAAATCAAGAGACCTTTGTTTTTAGAAAAGATTGCCTGTATACTCGCAAAATAACTTGAATTAAATGTTGTGATCAAATTTATATACACATTTAAGGACCAGTTACTACATGTAGTTATATTTGAAAATCTATTTTATAACATAGACGAAAAGAGGTACCTTTATAATGTGACTAAGGTAAGTACAGTGAAGACATGTATTGGCATATTTTGCATATATGCTCTTATTTCTGCATAGTGCACACGGCCAAGCTTGGATTGCGTATGGTGATATGTTATATATCACCGAGGCGTCCGAGTCAGGTTTGAAAACCCGTCACAGTACCTTAGGTTTTTGTTGACCAAATCCAATTCATATAACTTTAATACAGACATAAACGGGTGTCTTTATAAGTCACTTTATTTTGATCCTGTCACTTTCAAGATTCAAAATATCCTGGCACGTCTGCCAACTTGGTGGGATGCAACTGCATTCTTTAGGTCTTACGCGTCTGGTTTCCAGTATTCTTAAATGCTTCGCCGTATGTCCTCCTCAACTTTCTGTCTTGTACAGGTCTTAAACCACTATAGAGGAGAATAAAGGCGCAAAGTTAAATACTAGTACTCTGTTACTAGAGAGGTATCCTTGGCTAACTTTGTCTGTTTGTTCAGTTCTTTGTTTGCTGTTTAACGTCATTCTCGACAACTTTTATTCATATAGATTCATGAGATTTGCAATCTTTTTTCGGTGGCGAGCTGCCTCTCATACTCGACACTCAGAGTCATTGATCAGTGAGGAATCGTTTTCATTCTCACACCTATACCGCGGCACGGGATCTTGGTTTATACGGTCTCATCCGAATGAAGGGTCTCCACATCCACTACCTTGATTTGAACCCGCGACGTAAGGATCAACTACTTACTCCAAGATTCAAGAAAAGACGTTCTAATCATTATGCCAAGCGGGCAACCCTTAGCTAAGAATTAAAATTCAGTATGTATTATCTCAGTGCAGTCCAAATGGACTTTTACGAGAAGCATTGACTTTCACAGTTGACGGTTTACTTAACATTTAAACCTGCATTGTGTATGGAGGTACGGAATTGATAATAGACAATAACACCTTTCTAGTGGTCATAGGTTATGCCCCTAATGTTGTTTGGGGAATTAACATGTGAAGACCGAGAGTTGAGGGTAGGGTGGTATTCGTTTTCTTTAAGAACAACTGATTTACGCTTTGAAACGACCCGTTATTTTGGTTAGATTAACTGTTGAGCTAAATATTTTATCGTAAAAGAGCTACCGTACATTGTTCAAGGGTAAAAGTAAGCTGTCAACTGTGAAAGTCAGCGCTACTCATAAAAGTCCAATACTCTGACAGTTTTAATCTACTGGAATTAATGTAGAATTAACGATTTTTAGTGTTACTAAAACGTTATCTTCAGTTTTATACGAAACTAATCAAGGAAAACCATCTCGTTTCATCCCTGTTCAAGGCCTGTTCCCAGCAGTGAGTAATTATAAAATGATAAATGCAATTGCACCCAGTATTTGTATAGGTTAACTTTGTTTAATACTAACTATAATTTGGTAACAGGAATATTGTTCAAAATCTTAAACGTGAAAAAGAAGAAAACACTTTTTGTTGCCTTCAACTCGACATTTGGATATTTCGACGACGAACTATAAATTAATAATAATTTTTTCCATTCTTATATGGACATGATGTTGAAATAAAAGATACTACAAAGTCTGACACATCCGCATCATATTTGGATCTTTTACTAGAAAAAGACGTTATTTGTTATCTAACAGCAAAGCTTTATGATTATTTCTTTAGTACTATTTAAAACATTGAACTCAAATTTAAATCAGTGAAATCAGAATCAAAATCTTAATAATATGTCAAAATTTCATATAAATAGCATTGGAAACAGACGATTGGTGTCATGATTTTCAAAGTGTTGTTGGAATTGAGTTTGATGAAAATGACGTCAATCGCGTAACCGGCGCACGGATATATAATAAATAGTTTTGAATAAGGTTTGTATGCATCAGAGACAGGAAAAAACAGTACAGAAGTGACATTACACACTAGATTTTAATAGGGAAGTTATTTTTAAATGGCATGAGATTCAATGAGATTTTTTCCTTTATACCAAAAATAGTTACAGCATATAAGAAGTAGAGTACTCTTTGTAAAGGTACGCAGACAATGGGGAACAATCTTGGCCACGAACCTCGTCAAACAAAATGTATTCTCTGCTACCTACAATGTATGGCGATCTTTCGACTTAATTTCGACTAAAATTTGAATCTGCTTGTAACAAAACAACAACAAAACAGCGGACAGTAGTGAATTTGAATAAGTCCCTTAGTCAAGAGTGGTCTTTCACTTAAGAAAAATATTGAATGTTAACGTTTACAGACGCATGTGAAGCAGAAAAAGAGATCATATAACGTTATAAGAGACGTAAATTACGCTTGCTTTCGAGCGCCGATGTACACTTACATGCTTGCTTTATTTTTTCATAATTTTCTTATTAAATGTGATATCATCATGGAATTTGAAATGCATGATCATAAAATGTTACTTTTTGTTATGACAAGAAAAGAAATTTAATTCAGCAAAGAGAAAATTAACTGTTTTCCTTGTCTACGACTTTTTGGGACAACCCTCGTACTATGTAAACAAAAAACATACAAATAAATGTTTAAAAAATGAATAATGTTATTAATTCATGTACATTGATTACGTAAATGAGGTTCTATTAATGACGAACAGGGGTGTGGCAATTTACAAATAACTTCATGGAATGCTTCAGTACTTATCAACGTACGATGTTATTACGTGCCGCACTATTAACAAAGCAATCGCTGTACCTTTAAACAAAGTAAATTACAAAAAAAAACACGTTTACATGAAAAAAAAATAATGTCCTTGAAAGAAAATTCAAATTAAAAGGAATAAACATTTCCCTTTTTATAAAATATGTATCGACGTTGCATATAGTTTCTATATACCGGTATGATAAAGTCAAATGTTTGTATGTATTTGGAGCACAAATATATTTCAATTTTATACATGCACGCTATTTACAAACAAATGTCCATCAAGAACTTATCAAAGTTAAAATGTTATAGTAGAATATAATATATGTAAATCAGTAAAATCCATTGTGCCTAGCCCTCTTATTAAATTAACCCTGTTAAATTCGAAAGCATAACAGTTTTTAATACGTATCACAAAGTATTTTCCTCCTTTTTCATTTGTGAAATGTTAAATTTTTTGAAAAATATCCATTATATATCATATTTCTTGGTTTGAAAATTCAAACCTCTGAATGTCGTTGGCAAAACAATATCATTTTTATAATCTGGAAATATTTGTAATCTTTCTCCCTATTTAGATAGTTGTAATGCAAGTTATAAACTGCAAAGTTTAAACTAACTTTTACCCGCACCAAAATGATTTTCTTTCAATATTCTATGGAAAAATATTTTCAGAAAGATTATTTTCTAGTAGATCTTTTTAAAATTATATTTTATGATAAATCTTTTTCGTGAGAATTCCTTTCTTTCAAAAATGATGACATGTATATTTTTATGTCAAAACAAGCAAACTACAGAGTATCCATTAGTATTTTGCAGGTAATGGAGGCGCGTTTCCGTCTTCTCCAGAAGGTCCCGGTTGTTGACTGAAATCTTGTGGTTGCCCGAATCCTTGTGGTTGTCCATATCCTTGTGGTTGCCCAAATCCTTGTGGTGGTGGATATCCCATAGGTACTCCATATACCGGTTGCCCATATTGGACATGCACGGGCTGTACAAACATGGGCTGACCATAATTCGCTTTAAAAAAATCAAATTTACACTTGTATATTTCATGCTCATGCATATTCTTTTTAAAAAAACTGAATAGTGTTTGTAATGTCAGATTTTCAAAAATTTTGCTTGTGACCATATGGTGGTATTTCATGCAGCACTTATCGAATTCTGCATTATACAATTGTTGCTACTCTTGTATCTTCACAAAAACAATTTAGTTTCTTAATTAGTTGCAAATATTACAGTTTTATTATGAAAATTTTCTAAGCTCTCATATAAACTTCTATACACCAGTATTTAATTTGGATAAAAACTCAAACACCACATACCTGTGTGCATTGTATTTACACTTGTAGCAGTAGTTGTCGTCCCTATTGGCCGTACATTAGTAACAGTAGCTCTACGTGGAGCCGGTTTGCATTTTTTGCAGACGACTGCTACACAAAATATTATGATACCAATGCAAACTACACAACCAATGACACCTCCAATGACAGCACCAGTAGTAGAGCCATCATAGTTACTGTAAGAATAATAACATCTATACCCCGAAGCCGCTGTATAATAGCAGTAGGAAGTTGCTGATACCACGTGATGACCTAAAAACAAATACAGCAGATTTCTCAAATCGAACACGTTCTTAAATACAAAGGTAACTACATTATTCGTATCTGTCAGTAATATTCGGCAAAAGACATTTTAAAATTCTTTTTTTTTAATAATTCTAAAACATGCGTTATTCTGTCAAGGTTCAGTATTTATATGTTTTAACATACTAGTACTAGAAAGAATTGAAGAAAACAATCTCTCTCTCTCCTACGACTACTACTACCCTGAGATAATCGTAGGTTTTTATTTTATACATTGAAAATGTTATGATTTGTTCAATAGATGATAAAATCTACAGCAAGTGTTAAATTGGGCACATCATGTTGCATCCATTAACTATCAATGCAAGCTACAATGATCAGATAAAAACAGTCTTTTTCAAGTAAAACAGCTTGAGAAATAAATTAAAATCCAACTGATCATCCCTTTAACTAAAAATGAATTAAAAAAATAAAACAATACTTACTTATTAGGCTACAGAAGCTGCTTAAAAATATGAAAGTATTTGAAACTGTAGATGATAAGGCCATGTCGTTTGAGAAGAAAACTGTAAAGGGATGCAAATATGAGGTTAACACACAGTTCCCTTAAAATTAATCGAGTGATATAATCAATTTAGAGTTCGTGTTAATGACACATTGAATCACGAATTCCATTTAAATTTGCAGATAGAATACAGACCATTACATTGTCTTTCTTCATGGTCCACATGCACGTGTACTGAGCCCGTGATTTTTGGTCAGGGCACTTTTGTGTCAATCTTAGGGGTTTAGAATTTATCACACTATTGTGTTATCTAAAATATTATTATCTAAATTGTTAACAAGAATTTAACCCTCAAATATTAAAATGCATAAAAGAATATTACAGATGATTTTCTTCTTAATATTTCATGAAAAAAGACTAGATTCAATAGAGAAAAATATGTATATTTTTCCTACCGTCAAACATAGATTTTTCATGAAAAAAAAAATAACTTAAGTACGTTTGAATAATTTTGGAGCACATTAAAATTAATGGATAGCATATGCTTGTTTCAAATGGATATAAACATTTTTTTAAGTTTTGAATCTTCTTTTTTTTTCATGAAATAAATTTTCTTTTCCTAGCTCTTCATACTGAAATAAACCTCCATAAGACTTTTGATGAAAAATGTGTGCAAATTTGGTTAAATAAGAATTTAAGCCTTTTTGATAACAAGAGGACAACTGAAATTAATCATATTTGAACTTGATTTTTCATTTTAAATATGTATACATACAGATGTAAATATACACATTTCAATCCAGTGTCTTTGTTATTGTACCAATGTATTTCAGGTTATGAGGTTGAATTTTCTCTAACCTAGTGCCTTGTTACACCTGGCCGTCTGATCCAAGGACTTCCATCCATGCTAATGAGATGTGAGGGTCTGGTGAGACATGATGTACTACATATTTGCATTTGCTACTCTCCATCATTTTCATTTTGCTTTTTTCTATCTAGAGGTGTCAGCGGCAGGCGCTGGCACGATAAAGATCCCTCACTGCTCAATGGCCCTGAGTGCCGAGTAAAGGTCAAAATTTGAAGCCCTTCACCGGCATACGGTGACGTCTCCATATGAGTGAAAAAAATTCTCAAGAGGGACGTTAAACAATATACAATCAATCAATCTATCTAGAGCAATGAAAATGCACACATGTACTTACATGTAGTCATTTTTAGGATGTCCTGGCATTGCTTCGCGAAAAAGTTATATTGCTGCATACTTTTGCCCTATATATGCAAGACAGATCATGTCAACCTGCAACTTAATTATGTAGCCATACATGTGACTTATTTATATCAACATTCAACAAGAATTATGAAGACATGCGGCTTATTCATGCTATCATGCAACAACGATCGTGAAGATACGCGGCTTATTTATATCATCATGCAAAATTATGTTGAGATGCAAGTAACCAATCTTTTAAAGAATCTAATTTTAATGTTTGTAGATTACATGTACTTACCAACTTACGCCATTATAAGATACAAAATGCAAGTTATATTCAACAAATTAGTATATCCATTTTTGTTTTTCAAAATATAATCTTAATATAAGCATGATACTTATATTTCAAGTTTTTTAAAATACATTTTACAGGGTTTGCTTTTTTAGGTGTTTTCATTATATATTGAACGAAAAAAAATCTCTAATACATGAAAAAAAGAAAATTTTATTATTTATGTATTCTGATTGAGAAATGTGTTTTCATATTTAAACATTTCTGTCAAATTAAAGAACAAAGCTAAATTTTATAGTCTTTTTAATTCTCAGCTTTGCCGACCGTCATGTCTATGTACTGATTCACAGTTTAAAAATTTATGAATTATGATATTTAAAATCATGATCTAATAAAATAATTTCATGATATGTATGGAAACAGTTTAGCTTAAACAAAACCAAGTTACATTCTATATCAAAATATGAAATGCGATGCAAGTACATAGACACATATATTTCTTTCTTAAAAAGACTTTCACATACTATATAGCATATGCGTGATTTAACAAGCAAAAGTTTCGATATATAAATTAACTTTCTTACTAGTACAATAGTACACATTTGACGAATAGGATTCACATAGCATCATTACGAGTATGAGAAAAAAAAATTACACTTGACGTTATTAAATCACCTAGAATTACGTTTCTTTGAGGCATTATTGTCTCAATCAATTTGATTGCATGCACATTATGTTAGAACGTAGAAACATTGTAAATTCTACTTCAGTATCTACAAAAAACTAATTTAAAAAAAAATGGATAAAATACTTTACTCCTTCGTAGTTAAAATAGGATAAAAAATGTCAAAGGCTGGAATGTATTGTAAAAAAAAAACAATGGCAAAGTCTAACAACACCACTTCCTTAACAATAAGATCTTAACAGATTTCAATGTGACAACGTTAAATAATTCTACATTGATAAACCCAGTGTTTTATACAATTAAAAGAAATATTTTCCAAAAAATTTTAAAACCTATCTTACTATTACATTTTTACGCCCTTCACTCAGGAACTCTGGTGAAAAATCCTGCTTTTTAATAAAAGATTCAGAAAATAATATATATTGAAAGATTTATATTTATGTCAATGCATATTTCCATGAGTTAAAGAACACGCACTATTTAAATACTTGTACATGTAAAAGATAAATATTGAATGTTCTTTTAATTGTAAACAAAAATTGATTATCAAGTCATTAACAAATATAAACACACACACACACCCTCTCTCTCTCACACACACGCACTAATAATTAATGTATAATTGTATTTTACAAAATATCAAAATCTAAATGAAAAACAAATCAAATTTTACACATACATTTTTTCTTCAAGTATGGCACATGTACATGTATGATGTTAGCTTAATTATGATTTATATGCTGAAGTGTAATCAACAACTGTTATACAAATTTAGCATTGGGAAAATGATTAACTTTCTTACACATAGTAAGTAGTTAAAGCATGACTTTTCATCAGTCACTTTTGACAAATTGCCTATGATAAATAATTACAGCGGTATATAAAATATTAGTACAAAAAGCTTCAGAGACATATGAGGTACGTATTTTTTTCACAAATCAAAATGACCATGGTTATTTTGATATGCATCACAATGTATGAAAATACTGAACTAAAACCCCGAAGATGGTTGAGTTTAGTACGTAAAGTTACCACCAAGTTGTGGTCCGTATTGATTGTACTGAGTTGTTCCTGCTTGTGATTGTCCGAATCCAGATGACTGTGCATATCCGCTTAGATTATTCCCGGACTGTCCATTTCCAGTTTGCCAATATCTGGACTGTCCATCATGACACACACCAAACTGACCATGTCCGCCTGCTGTGAATGAAAGCATAGAATGAAAAGTCTATCAAAAAGTGTTCTCATGTTTTTGAAAAGATATAATATTCTCTTATTTGAATGGAAAAAGTATCATATTTGAGGAAAAAATTTCATTTTCTTCCATCAATCGAAACATAATATTAATATTGTTTTCTAAATCTTATGATTTTCGGTCTGTTTCTCTGTACATGTATATTTGTACATGTAGATAATGTCAACGTTTAGTCATTTTTGTACCTAATATCACATCGATGCTTTTGCTATTGTGAACGTAGAAGGGTCGAAAAAGTGTTAGACTATACCTTGTGTATTACTATTGAAATTTGTACCAATTTGCCCATTTGGTTGAATATTCATTCCTTTCTTCTTCTTCCACTTCAGGAAACAAATGAGCGCTACCATCGCCGGAAAGAAAACTCCAAACGCAACGATCATAGGTATGTAAACCACGATGTAATCATCATCGTCATCATAGTAATCATAATCCGACATTTCATAGGGTCATGGGGTCACGACAACAATGTTGAAAACCGGAAACAACACGGCACTCTGAAACACAAACCAATTACAATAATGTACATTTCTTGAAAGAATGTGATTTCTAATGACAGATGAAAGTAAAAAGTTTTAAAAGGATAAATCGACATGAAACTTAAATCGTCCAATAAGAAACACAAGCTTAAGGCAAACTTATGATGATCAATTTTTCATGGTGCGAAACTAAGTACTGAAAGCTAGCAAGATATCTATATTTTAACATTACAACAACACCAGTTAGCACAAGACAGTCAAAAAGACACATAATTGATTCAATATCTTATTTTCAGTTAACATTGTAAATACTTACATCTGAAATTGATGTTCGTTTATAAATTGCACCGAAGTTTAAAAACAGCTAGAATCCAGTGTTAATGATATTTGTATAATTGCACGTTCCACCGCAGTATAAACCTCTGTATTTTTTAAATTCCAAGTGCTTATGCACTATATGATGTGTGTAATAGGACAATATGGTATAGTTTAAAAGCCCTTCGTTAGTGTATTGGGGTCTTTCATGGATAATGACCGCGATTGTCGATCATTGGATTTTAACATTGATTTCAACATAAACATCGAATCAATACAGAGACCACCTGAATGAAGGATATCATCAGACGATATTGTTGGACGAAGTATTTTGGAGTGACTGTTTAATTAACCATTATTACATGACGGAACGTGTAATTTTTAAAGAAGGTTTTGTAACACATTTGCACATGAATGAACTACTGAACGACTGATCGATAGGTTTTATGCTGTGTTACAATCTCATTCAACTTGTATAAAAACAGCACTACACACAGTGCAGGGCTTCCTAATCAAACATTAATTTGGTACTAAGGTCCATTGAGCAGTAAAAGGATCTTTATCGCACAAACGCTAACGTGACAAGGGACCTCGTTTTCTTTTCGAGAAAGACCCGTGATTTTCACTATTTAATATTCGGGTATTTGGCGAGGTAACAGTTATGAAATATATATTGGTGCTCACGTGTTTACAGGGTGCGGACCTCCTGATGAGGAAGCAAACATTCTATCACCAGACAACCGTGACTGTTAACAATAGAGCGAGAAAAAATGTAAATTTGCAAAATAAGTAGCAATTAGTTATATTATCTAGACATGTACCCTCTGATTAACTTTATTAAGAATATTATATTAAACCTCCAGAAAGTTTTTTTTAAATTCTTTAAATAGGTGTCTATAAATGAGTAATTTTCACATGCAGAACTCCATGCAATTAAAAGCAGCAGCATATTTTTGGATGCAACACTTTTATTTCATGTATTTGTTTGATTTTGTTTTTATTTTAAATTATTTTATTTTTGTTTAGAAAGGATCCTGTAAAAAGTTGACTTATTGACCCAATAAAGAACATAAAAGAAAAAAAAATCAAATATTTCATTTTTAAAATAGCCTGAAATATATCCCATTCTCATTTCCCGTGTCAGAAAGGTCGTGGTAGTACATGTAGCAAGGTTTCCTTTGTTAAGCTCTCAGCACTATAAAGTTTCGAGTTTTTCGGATAAAACTTATAAACTTAGGTCCCATGTCACGGCGGACGTTGGTATTGTAAAGAAGACTCACTACTCAATGGTCCTTAATGACGAATAAGAACCTCAACCTAAATATCTGGACATTTTTATATTAGTGAAAAAATTCATTCAAATGAGACATAAAACACCTGACATGAAACTCAAGTTATCTGAAAAACACAAGAACACGAAATAAAATTCAACAGGTTATTAAATAAATGTAATAATTCTAATATTACTTTGGGCGGCTTTTGTAATATTTTTGAAGAAAAAAGAGGGATGAATAAAGATTAATCAAATTTACCATGATAACTCCAATTGTGTACTTTTAGGGAAAATTTGGAAGGTCTTTAAAATTCATTCTCCAAGTCTAGGAAGAAAAATTCAAAGAATTGTCCGTTTTTCTACCTCTGATATGAAACTAAGTCTTTTCCGCAAAAAATATTGTATTACATGTCCTTAATTGGCGAATGACTTGTATCAACCCATTTATATCTCTTGAACAATTATATAACACACCAAATCAGTTTCATAGCAGATGATCCCATCTCTGATGTTTCGGATGTTTGCTCTGCTCCTATTTTGTATTGTTTTATGGACTTTGATATTGAATACTGTTCGTTATCTCCACGTCCTTCTATTATGATTGATTGATTGTATACTGTTTAACGTCCCTCTCCAGAATATTTCACCGATATGGAGACGTCACCATTGCCGGTGAAGGGCTGCAAATTTGGGCCTATGCTCGGCACTCAGGGCCATTGAGCAGGGAGGGATCTTTATCGTGCCACACCTGCTGTGACACGGGGACTCGGTTTATACGGTCTCACCTGAAGGACCGCGCCATTTAGTCGCCTTTTACGACAAGCAAGGGGGTACTGAAGACCTATTCTAACCCGGATCCTCACGGGATCCTTCTATTATCCTTCTTTTATGAATATCAATCAAGTGAAAAAAAGTCAAGAAAGATAAATATACAATAAAGAATTTTATTCTTGCCACTCATAATAGCGAAGAAGAATTATGAATGATAGTTCTGATAAATTGTGAATAAAGTCAGGTATATGTAAAAACCTGTACGTGTCCAGATAAACTTTAAGAATTGGACATTAAATGTAAAAAAACAAACATTCACCGCTTCATAGCGAAGCAGAAATTATAGTTGTTTGGGAAATATTTATATCAGTGTTAGAGAAACCAACATGATTTTGGTGTTCATCCACTCATATACAAAGGCTAAAATATTATGTGATTTATAAATAAACATTCCAACAAAAAACAAACAAGAAATCCGATTTGCATACGATTTAAAATCACAATATCACAGTCAGTATATGGCATTTCTAGGCGGAATATAGGAAGACGCTTTGATTGGTTAATAAGTAGAAAGTGGTGGTGGAGAGTAGGCGGGGTTACCACCAGATGGTGGTGGATACTGAATGAATGGCTGAATCCTGACTGGTGTTGTCTGTAACTTGGAGGTGGATGTCCATAACCTGGTTATACATGATCACCTGTTCATGATAAATTGTGCGTAATATAATATACAACAGATAATATTATGAACTAAATGATATTTTATGAATCTATAAATAAATCAACTGCAACCGCTACTTTTTATTTACTCCTGCTATCCGTTACTTGTATATAACATGTTATGGATTTGTAAATTTATACTGGTAGGTGATAACGAATTCTAAATTTTCGGAATATTTCTTTTTATTATGTCGTTACTGATTAATTATTATTTTTTTAGCCACTGATTATAATAAATCATAAGAAATGTACATCATATTCTATAAAAGCTACCTTGATTTCAATGGACTTCTAAAAGGGAAAAAAGGATTTGGGTACAATGATTTTGTTACACACTTACTTAATGTAGTCACAGTTTTTGCTCCAGGTCTGACTTGAACGACTCTTGATCGATTTGTTGTCTGACAACATTTAAATTTGAAGTATAAGACTCCTACGATGATTGCAAAAGCAATGACACCGATTACTATTCCAGCAATGGTCCCGCCGTCGGTGCTGCCGGACGAGGAAGAGGAGTAGTAGTAATAATAGTAATAGTAGTAGTAACAGCGATAGGACGTGTAGTAGTACGAGTAATAGCAGTAAGATGCTGCTGATGCAAACTGGTAACCTGAAATAGAATAGAAACAGAGATATCAAACGCCTTTGAAAAAGTTTGTTGCTAAGATGTAATTTATTCACTAAATGTTGACATAATTAATAAGATTATGGAAAGGGCTAACTAGGTTTCCATTTTTGAGAAATGTTACTGAATACTTATCAATTTGTCTTTTTACATGATGAGCAGTTGTTATGCCAATGCTTAAATAAATGGGAGGGTATAACGTGATCGGGATTTCCTTCTGTCCGTCCGTCTGCACGTCCATTCGTCTGTCTATCCGTCTGTCCGTTCGTCGATTACGCTTTGCAATACCCATCTCTTTCCCTTAGCTGCTCTTAATATGCCACTGAATGAATTTCGATTAGACTTTCACACTATCGTTGTTACAAAGTGCCATTTTGCTTCTTTTATTTAACAATTTAATTGGACACATATTTTGGCTTTCCCATAGTAAAACATTGACATTGCATTTATTTTCTATAATATTGAAGGGTACCCATTTCATATTAGCAACTCCTCCTATAATATTGCATAAACTACATGTATAATTATACCTTAACAGATTCTTTATTATATAATGCCATTGTATATCTCCTACTTTATTTTTTGATCCGACACTTATTTCATGTCTCCCTGAACAAAACATGGATTTTGCCATTATAATGGTATGGGAGGTGAGGATTATAAATTAGTGAGCTCAATGCTCACAGTACCTCTAGTTTTCTCTGGGAGATTTTCAATAAAGTCTCATCTTTACAGTGAACATTTACTCCTTTAAAAATCAAATTCAGGACCAATGCTTTAACGCTTGTTAATTGTACATATACTGACAAACTAGTAAATTCTGGTATGATTAACTGCCTTTTTATTTGTTGGTACTAAGAAAGGTCTGATATAGAGATGATAAAATTAATGTTATGGAATGGGGAAAATTTCACACAAGTTTATTCAGCAACGCAGAGAATTTTTCATAATTAAGAAAAAGGTCAAGGTCAAGTGAACGGTTACATTTTTTATCATACCCCCACTTGAAAAGTCGGAGGGTATATATTAATCGGAATGTCCTTCTGTCTGTCCTTTTGTACACCCGTCCGATCGTCCAACCGCCTGTTACAGTTTTGGGTACCCATCTATTATCCACAATTTCTATTACTACAGAATCTTCGTTCTAATAGTGTCATTTTGCACCTCCTATTTTACAATTTGATTCGACGCATTTTTTTGGGGTTTCCATAACAAACATGGAAACTGCTATTCTAGACATTCTGTCTATAAAATTGAATCTCTTTTCCGCAACTCCTCTTTTTTCACTGACCCCGTGGGGATCCGGATTACATGTAGAATAGGTCCTCAGTACCCCCTTGCTTGTCGTAAAAGGCGACTAAATGGGGCGGTCCTTCTGATGAGACCGTATAAACCGAGGCCCCGTGTCACAGCAGGTGTGGCACGATAAAGACCCCTCCCTGCTCAAAGGCCTTGGGTGCCGAGCATAGGCCTAAACAGCCCTTCAATGGCAATGGTGACGTCTCCATATCAGTGAAATATTCTGGAGAGGGACGTTAAACAGTACACAATCAATCAATCTTTTTTCACTGATTAAAAGTTAAAGATATTTTCTTTATTACATGATGCAATGATTAACCTCCAATTTTTGGTCTGACAATTATTGTGGGTCTTTCAGCGCAAAACCTGAATTTTGATATATAATACATGTAATTACATGAGAGGCAGGGTATCATTTAGTGCGCTCACAGTACCTCTAGTTTCC